TTTTCCACTGTTATTTTAATGTATGGATTCAAGACTAATTTAAATCTCCTATGTTGGTCGAAACGCGAGATGATTTTGGGATTATGGCCGAAAACATCGTTAATAGCGAGGGAATTCAGCTGACTCTAATGCATTCTAATCGGTATACATGCTAGTTTCCTTGTGTATTTCTTGTCAGTTTGCTTCATAAAACGCTTCATTAAACTACCTTTTTAATTCTCACACGCGATATATTCTCATATAAGCCACAAAGCCAAGAGCGCACGTGTTCATTTTACCTCCATGAAAGACATGGCTTTTCTACATCGTGCAGCACCCACATGTCGCGAAGTCTCATTTGTCAAACTGAATTATAGCATGTACAGGATATAAGTATGAAATTATTTACGATATTTGGTTGCTGTTACCACGACTTTCGCTCGTTTCTAAGATCAAATAAAAATCTCTGAAAGTTTATGCGGTTTTTGTCTAAGACCAGAATTGTGTGTGTGTGTGTGTGTGCGTTTTGTCATTCGATCCCATAAAGCTTTCAAAATGTAAAATTTGCTCACTTGATGTTTTAACACTTTATCTTCGTTGTTTGCCGTTAGGCGCAAATCTACACAATGGGCTATCTGTATTCTGCCCACAGCGGGTATCGAAACCCGATTTTAACGTTGTAAGCCATTAGACTTATCGCTGAGTCAGTTTAGGGAAAGCAACTCTTTTTTAACTATGATACAAACAGACTAACAAATAAACGACCATCAAAATTCTATCAACGCCACCTGCCTTCCGCATGAGTGACTTATCATAAACTTCTGGTCTGGCAAACCTTAAATGATGACGTTTTTCACTGAAACCGCTCTTCTCGGGCTAATTTGAACCCAGAAATACACATACACACACAAACACATTGTCTTTATAACTTAAACAGAGAAAAAAAATACCTTATGAGAAGCTCACTCTTCAAACAAATACGTGACTGAACTTTCAATCTCTTACATATTAGCGCGATTCTTCATGGAATGTATAGCCAACACAGAGAGCACTGTTAACGAAGTTGGTTGTCTTTCCATAACGTATAGCCAACACTGCTGGTATAATTGGTTGTCTTTATGGAATTACAGACAGCACTGTTAACGAAGTTGCTTGTCTTTCCATAATGTATAGCCAACACAGAGAGCACTGTTAACGAAGTTGGTTGTCTTTCCATAATGTATAGCCAACACTGCTGGTATAATTGTTGTCTTTATGGAATTACAGACAGCAATGTTAACGAAGTTGGTTGTCTTTCCATAACGTATAGCCAACACTGCTGGTATAATTGGTTGCCTTTATGGAATTACAGACAGCACTGTTAACGAAGTTGGTTGTCTTTCCATAATGTATAGCCAACACTGCTGGTATAATTGGTTGCCTTTATGGAATTACAGACAGCACTGTTAACGAAGTTGGTTGTCTTTCCTTAATGTATAGCCAACACTGCTGGTGTAATTGGTTGCCTTTATGGAATTACAGACAGCAATGTTAACGAAGTTGCTTGTCTTTCCATAATGTATAGCCAACACTGCTGGTATAATTGGTTGCCTTTATGGAATTACAGACAGCACTGTTAACGAAGTTGGTTGTCTTTCCATAATGTATAGCCAACACTGCTGGTGTAATTGGTTGTCTTTATGGAATTATAGACAGCAATGTTAACGAAGTTGGTTGTCTTTCCATAATGTATAGCCAACACTGCTGGTGTAATTGGTTGTCTTTCCATGACGTATAGCCAACACTGCTGGTGTAATTGGTTGTCTTTCTATGACGTATAGCCAACACTGCTGGTGTAATTGGTTGTCTTTATGGAATTACAGACAGCATTGTTAACGAAGTTGGTTGTCTTTATAAAATGTATATAGAGAACTGTTAGTATTTTAATCAGCTCTGTAAGTAAAACATATTTATTTCAAAACACCTTACATATATAATATACACTCCAACATTATATGAAACCTAGTCTTAATTTACTCTTGTCCTGTGTTAGTGATAAGAGGTGGAATTCCTTGAAACCGGTAAATCTCAGTGATAAATATCAGACGTAGGCTAAATGTGAACTCTATCCAAAAATATACTGTGTCTTTGTATTATAAATCCAATATATAAATAAACCTGAGGGTTAATACAAATCATAATGGAAATGTGTCTTACTAAATGTAATCTTTAAAATTACGCATGATATATATATGGTGCAAGTAGAGTTATATCTTATCACTACATCTTCGTACTACTGAAAGTGGGTTACATCTTAACACTACATCTTCGTACTACTGAAAGTGGGGTTATATCTTATCACTACATCTTCGTACTACTGAAAGTGGGTTACATCTTATCACTACATCTTCGTACTACTGAAAGTGGGTTACATCTTATCACTACATCTTCGTACTACTGAAAGTGGGTTACATCTTAACACTACATCTTCGTACTACTGAAAGTGGGTTACATCTTAACACTACATCTTCGTGCTACTGAAAGTAGAGTTATATCTTCGTACTACTGAAAGTGGGTTACATCTTAACACCACAGCTTCGTGCTACTGAAAGTGGGGTTATATCTTAACACCACATCTTCGTGCTACTAATAATAAATGAATGATGTAACACTATGTCAGTACATATGTAGATGCAGGCTGCAAATTTAGCGATATTTTTATGCCAAAACCCGTTCGCTTTTAACTGTAGGTGTTGAAACAGGCACAAGTTAGTTTCTCAAACTACAAAAAATAAATAAAACGTATTTGTCATATGACGTAAACAATAAATCAAATCTCTGAAAGGCGCCATACGAACGTTTAGATATTTAATTATTTTGAAAGCTATGCGAATTGGAAACTGTATTGTACGTTCATAGCAAATGTTATTGTACAAAAATTGAGATACACCACAAGCAGCAACACAATTTTAAATTCTCTATTTTATACATTCTAATTA